TTCATGGGTCATATGCCCACAGGTTCTGATTCAGTAGGTCTGAAATGGGGCAGGAATACTCATTTAAGATAAGTAATATATGTTATTCAAAGTGCAGAGGGGCTGTGGCTCTGCAGATAACATCTAGTCCATACTGGTTTAAATGCACATCAAGGAGTGATGACTCATTTTAAGATTCCCTTGGAATGGTGGGGATTGATGGCTGGGGAGAGAGAAGTCTTCCAATATTCCAGATGCCTTCAACAGAGGGAAAGTTAGAAGCCAGCACATGACAGACGTTTGTATAAGATTCACAAAGAGCCTTGGCTCTGGGAGGCCGAGGTGGGGGGATCCCATGAACTCAGGAGTTCAGAGACCAGCTTGAGCAAGAGCGATACACTATGCCTACTAAAAGTAGAAAAAATAGCCAGTGTTATGGCAGGCACCTATAGTCCTAGCTGTCTGGGAGGCTAAGGCAAGAGGATTGCTTGAACCCAGGAGTTTGAGGTTGCTGTAAACTATGACACCATGGCACTCTACCCAGGGTGACAGAGTGAGATTCTTTCTCTAAATAAATAAATAAATAAATAAAGAGTAAGCCTTGGTATTCTGAAAAATACACCCAAAAGAAATTGCTGTTCAGACCTGAGCACAGCTCAGCCCTCTCAGCTTACGTCTGACCAGAGGCCCCAAAGGCTGGGCCATTACTAGCTGACCTGGCTTCATCCGGAAGAACTTTTAATATGAAGGTGACGCTGAGAGGACAAGATTTGCTCTGAGGCTTCGGTGTCTGACTGCTGTCAGAATGCACTTTCTTCATTCCAAGGGTGTGTCAGAACTAGAGAAATATCACCTCTGTTACACAAGTAAACTTTACCTCATCAATTTGGAATGGGTAGAGCTTCTTGTTTGTTTTTAGGTTGTTCTTCAAAGGTGGTAATTCTTAATGTGTTTGATCCTGCTGGGGATGTCCAATCCACATGTTGATTTTGTGAGGACCTTTTTTGCTTATCTGTGGTGTCAGATATCACAAAAAGCATGAAGGCACCTTTCTTTTTGCTAATCAGCTTTTGTTAGTGTTCTGTATTTAATATGTGGCCCAAGGCAACTCTTCTTCCAATGTGTGGCAGAAAAAAAAGGATATTTGGCTAGATATTAGGGTAAGAAAATTAAGTCGTCAACAAGTATTTTCAACATGGTTTTTCTGAAGCAGTGTTCTACTTTTGCATTTGGAGGAGGGGTGTCAGCTAATTGTTTTTTAAAGTTCCTACAAACAGGCTCAGCGCCTATAGCTCAACCGGCTAAGGCGCCAGCCACGTACACCTAAGGTGGCAGGTT